TTTTTTTGGTTTTTCTCCGGTACCGGGAACCGAACTCACGACCTTGCGCTTACCAGGCAGGCGCTTTTGCCGCTGAGCTAAATCCCCAGCCCCTGCTTTATTTCTTTAATCATTACAAAACTTAGTATTTCTCATAGATTCATTAACTATTTGCAATCCTTTTTCTATAAACTACTTAACAATTTCCTCTGTCCATTCCTCTACTAGTTGATTGGGATACTTTGCTTTCTGACTAATAGGTGCTCTGTGCATAACAGATATCAATCTACTGCTTTTATTCATGCTGTAAACAGTGTCATGTCTTCCACCATACAAAGTTCTACATTTTTATATGAATAACTATCAATTTTCTTTTTGGTCTCTTAAATGAGTGGCATCTGCACCACAAGTTTAAGTTAATATTTTATATATATTATTTATCATTTTTTAACATTTAAATCTTTAATCAATGTAGACTTAATTATGGTGGGAAGTGGGGCTAGTACTGGAATGGGGCCCAAGTGAGACTTTTAAGAGGTGATTAAGTGATGAGGGTTCTTCCTTCACCAATGGATTCACGTTGTCATCACAAGAGTACTGTATATTGGTTACCCCAAGTTTGTTATGATACCAAGTTCTATCCTCTCTTTTCTCACACTCTCTTTGCCCTCCAGCTATGTGATGGTGCAGCAAAGGCCCTCATCAGATATAATCTCTGAATTTTAAGACTCTTCCACCTACAGAAGTGAGCCAAATACATATTGCTTAAAATCTACCAAGTGTATATAGTATTGTTATAGCAGCATAAAATCGTTTAAAATAGGTATCTAGCTTTATTTTCTTCCAAATGCATAATAGCCAGTTGTCCCAATAGTATTTATTGAATAATTCAATCTTTCTCCACTGATGTAAAGACTATTATATATCAAATCTTCACATGGATAGATAATATGTATGCTTATGTGTGTGCTTATATACAGACTAGGGGATGTGTGTACGTGTATATACAGATAACTGTTTTAGACTTTGTTTTCTCCTCTGATATCTCACTGTGTGACATAATGGCACTAGGTCAACACTTACCTGGCCTTCTTCATCAAAAGCCATGACTACTACAGCAGCTCCAAACTTCTTAATTTTCCTGGCCTTCTCCAAGAAGTCCTCTTCTCCCTCCTTCAGACTAATGCTATTGACTATGCACTTCCCTTGGCAGCATTTTAACCCAGCTTCAATCACAGCAAAATTGGAAGAGTCAATACACAAGGGCACCTAAGATAGAGAAGGAAGAAAATCCACATCATCAAAAGTCACCACAAATCCCCTTCCAAGGCCTCCCAAATAGTCATGCACATATCACTCACTAATGATTCAGAGCCACCCAGCAACAAGATATACCTTGGAATATGGTTGTGAAAGTGTTAAAGAGTTTTGGTGACAGTTTGGTGTTTGGATCCTACTGGTAATAATGTGACAGATAAAACATTTTTCTGCTTTACCACAATTAGCTAAAACTTAGTGTTATGGCTTGGGTCTAGATGTCCCCACACAGCCTCATGTGGTCATAGGTGGGGTTTTCTCAAAGGTGCTGGATCTAGAGCATGTAGTGCTGGAACTGATTCATGGTACAATGCTAGGATTAAGGGTACTAGGATTAAGGGTTTGGCCTAAGTAGCCCTGGATAAGATATAAAGGTAGAAAGACCTGTGATTACCCCTTGTTGCTTTGCTACCTACTATGTACCATGAACTGTTTCTCCTCTACAATGCCTGTCTGCCATCCATCCTGCCTTGGAGCCAGCTGATTATGGACTGAAACCTCTACAAACTGTGAGCTAAATAAATCTTTCCTCCTTTAACTTTGGATATCAGGTATTTCATCCCCAAAACAAGAGAAAAGTAACTAAGACATTTGGTCTCCAATAAATTTTAGTAGCACTGTAGGTCAAAACCAGAAAAGATATGAAAAATGTTTGCAGTAATTAGAGGACAAAGTAATAATAATAATCTCTCAAATTACATGAGATCCTTCATGGCTGACAAGGCACTTTTATCATTATAACTCACAAATCAGGTAAAGCAGGTATGACTACACATTTCAGATATGAGGAAGGAAACCAAGGTCAATAGCTCATCAAAACATGAGGGGTCGGCCTCCCTCCCACCGCTAAGCTGATGAACACCTGATTCCCATGATTCTGACTGCCTCTAAACTGGTCACTGAACTCCTAGCACTTTAATTCTCAAAAGATTCACTCCCACAAAAGTGGTGTGGCTTTTTAAATACACAAATGAAATATGGATAGTGTTTACCACAACTTCTAACTTAAGCATTTGCTGAAGCCTAGTAAAAATCACAGTCCAATCTGAGACATACAACTCCTAAAGTACCAAGAAGTTGCCTTATAAAAATAATCTCAAACCTAGTGTGGTGGCACATATCTGAAATTCCAGCTACTCAGGAGACTAAGACAGGAGGATCTCAAGTTGAAGCCAGCCTGGGCAACTTGGCAAGACTCTGTCTCAAAATAAAACTTTTTAAAAAGGGTTATGGTACAGCACTTATGGGGCACATGTACACCCCTGGATTCAATTCTCAGTACTGAAGCGGTAGAAATTTCTCATCACAGATTTAATGGCTGAGAAATTAGGTGAGGTTTTGAACCTTCTAAAAATTTTAAAAAGACTAACATAAAAATTAAACTTTCACTTTTAAAGAACAAATATACATGGACACAATACTTTGATTTAACCTTGTTTCACACTACTATCTTAATCTGGTAAGCCTGACAAGTCTCTTCTTCCTGCAATAAGAAAGCACCAAGCTTCCCTGTCCAAGACAGAAATGGAACCAAAGATATGGCAGGAACAGGTAAACACGCATTCTGAAATGTGAGGAATGGGTTCTCAGTCTGTCCACACATCTAGGGAAACTCACTTCTCAAGACCAATCCCAGAAGCCTTGGAAACTGCAAAGTTGAAGGAATATCTCTCTCCAAAATCTGGCTTATGTCAAAAACATTAACCTTTGTCAAGGAAGCTGAAAATCAGAAATCACCTTGCTCTCAATGTAAGGGGGAAAAAAAAAACAGTTCATCCGCAGACTGATAAATGAAGCAACTGGCAAATGTGAGTAAAAGAATAAACTCCCATATCAAATGTAAACTCTGTACAACCTTGGCAATGTCAGGCTCGGAAGCAATGAAGTTGCAAAATTTGGTCATTGCACTTGGACCGTCTAGCATGCCATCATCCATGTTGACATCCAGCACCTGGGCTCCCATTTCCACCTGCACTTTGGCAACACTCAGCGCCTCCTGAGGGAAGAATTCAAGAAGCATCATCATTAGGAGATGGTGACTCAGAGGAGGCTAACGAAAGTAATCCCTCACCGCCTCCAGTGGTCCTTTCTCCAGTGGTCCTTTCTAACTACTCTACACTCACCAGCCCTACTCCTTGACTTAGGGCCTGCCTTCCTCCCCACTGCACTGACCAGATTAACCTTCCTCACGTATCTCTTCCATAACATCATTTCACTACTTGGAATCCCACTAAGGCTGTTTTCCTACCACAAAGAATCTAAACTCAGCTGACAGTAAGGAGCAGGGCTGCCTTCTCACCAAACTGAACTGTCTGCTCAGCCCTCACTGTACCCTTCAACCAGCCAAGTCCATTTCCACAGATCACATTCGCTTTTCATTCTACACGGTTTAGACTGTGCTGAAGTCCCATATCCCTTTAGAGACGTCCTTAGATGTAGTTCTGTACAAAGACTCTGGATTCAGTCCCCAGTACTGCAAAAACTAGACAGACACACACACACACACACACACACACACACACACACACACAGACCTTACAGAGAGTCTTTAGAGAAACTATCCAGTCATGTGACACTTCAGTGTTTGCCAAAGCATGTAAACATGAAAAAAAAATTTGAGATAAATTCCAGTGTGTTTTTATACTTCTGGGAGGCTTTTCAAATCCTCTAATATGCTAGTATATATTGCAACTCTCCTAGAACAAAATACTATGAACAGAATCTCCCACTAATGACCACTTAAGGAAACTCTTGTAGGATCAATGTTCCAAAGAACACCTGGAAAACACTACTTATTTCATAATGACCTATATCCTCTTCACATCATTGTCATATAATTTATTTCATTATAATTTCCTCACTCTTTCATTCGTACTAGCTAATTCCTCCAAACAGATTTGAAGTATTTGGACACAAGGAAGGTCTTATGTATTTCCTACTTTGAGCAATGCTAGGAAAAAATGTACATGTTCAATAATGCTTTGTAACTGGTAAAGTAGTCTTTTCAAGTCTTTACTGTAGACTTCAATGTCATAAAATAATGAAGTATAAAATCAGTAGTAGGTGTTGATAGGTCCAGATTTCTCTTAGTCCAAGAATATCAAATAGGAATTTTTATCAGTCACTGTGATAGAATAAGCATGAAATACTCTGCACCAGGCCATATGAAAACACCATTCACAGTAAGGGAGGGACGCACAGAAAAAAAATCACCATTAAATTCAGCAAATCTTTTTTCCATATTAGCAATGATTAAATAATACAAATAATAAAAAGAGGAGCCACTCTCAGTCTCCATTCTTGAGGGTTTACATTTGTTGGAGTACATGACACAGCTGTATTAAAAACTACCTGGCACTGCCATAGTGACTAGCACAAAGAGAAGACCTTATTAAACAATACATATTATTACTTCTACCAGTTTGCTTCTTACTAAAGTAGTCTCTGCTTTCAGTGTCAAATCCACTAAATCAGAGAGATGAAAGGACACCACAAACTACAGAGGAATCAAAACAGAAGTAGGAGTACTGCCAACTGCAGAACACTGCATGACTAGACAGGGTCATCAGCATTTCTCAAAGGAGCTAACCTAAGCCAGATACAGCAGAGGAAGCAAGCCTGCAGGGTGTGCAGATGATGACTCAGGATGGGAAAGCACCAGACCTTGGTGGAGAAGACAGAATGATGCCTCAAGAATTTGGATCTTACTCTACTGTGCAGAACTTCTGACTAGGGAGGCCAGTCACAGAGTGGTTTGGTGTAGATTAAATTTTGGTCATCCACAAAATGACCATAGCTAAAGTTATTATATAAAGTTTCCAAAGTAATGGTCTATTTTATTTGTTTCAGTCTATAGTTAATAGGCTCAATCCTTCATCAATCAGCATTTGAAGCAATTGGGAGGAATTAGGTAAAAGTTTTCCTGGTTTTCCCTTTTCCTACAAGGATTTGTAAGTGGCCAAAATGAGGAATATTCACTTGCCAGTCAGTAGAAATATGTAGAGCCTGAGGCCTGTCCATCTCATCCCACTTCATGCCCCCAATGTGGTACTTTTTAACAGTGTTGACAACAGCAGCTTCAATTGTGTGAAGCTTCATCTTCCCACTAACCACCTGCTGCAAACACCCACTACACTTCCCAGCCTCTAACAGCACTACCAAGAGCAAACTACTCTTCACTGACATGCTGTCTAGCCAGAGACATGGCAGATGCCTCCGGGGTCTCACAAGGATACTTACTTCATAGTTTCCTGCCATGATGAGTTTAGCAAACTTCTTGGATCCTGCCACGTTACAGCGCTCTCCAATGTTAACGAAGTTGGTATATGGTCCAATCCTGAAGGGCTCTAGACCTTAAAAGGAGAAGTTTTTAAAATTCCTGAAAATGCGTATCTATGACACAAAACTCACAGACACAAATGTTTTCAGTAAGAAAGAAGTCACTGTACCAAAGCCCACCAAGCAGACGGACAGGAGATCCAATGTGGAAATAGGGCCACAATCTGCTTTAGGGAGACTAAAACGCACAAACTCAAAAGTTACGTGTTATGGCTACATTTCCAGGCAGAACTCTCAAAAGAAGAAATAATTCAGGGTTTTATACTACAAATATCCCTAACTAACTGAACCATACCATCTCTGAGAAAGAAGAAAAAGTTATCATCATATCCCTATGTAACCAAGTGTGAGGGCTAAAAGCCATCAAGAAAGTTAGAAATCAAAGGAGGATTGTTCTGTATCTCAGACATCAGCTTGACATTGATGGAGCAAGCTATCTTAATTCCAGCAACAGTATAACTACAACTTTGCTCCATCTCCCAAAACAGGGGCAAATGTCATGTAATACATGTGGACAAATTAACTGCAGTACAAAGCAACATACAATGTAGATACAGAAAAGGGTCTGAACTGCTTCTGTTCTACTTGTTATTTTTAAACCATTAAGAGAAGGTAATCTCACTGGATAGGAATAGGTAGGCTCTGGAGAAAGACAGCTCTGAGTTCAAATTACTTACCTGACCAGACAGCCCGAGGCAACTTCCCACATAGACATAGCCTCTAAACTTACAAAACAGGGACAGGAAAGTGTCTACCATATATTATTATTGTACAAGTAAAACTGGAAAATGCTCATAGGCACAAAGTTAATACTGGCAATTATATTGTCAAAATAAAAGAATATGGCTTCTGAGCCCTTTGCCAAAACACTGGTTAAAAAAGCAGCAGATGAGGAAATTAATGAATATAAGCTAGCTAACTATAAAACCATTCCAAAACATCTGTTCATCCATTCAGAAGACAGTCATTTTCCATAGTTTCAGGTGATAATGATCCCAAGCTAGCTTCGAGTACCCTTGGCCCTTAGGCTGAATGGGGGTTCAAAGGACAGGCAGAGATGCCAACACTTAAATTCTGAAGAGTTCTTATGTGACCTCCCTAACAGCATTTCACACAGTTCAAATCTATTATGAACATCAAATAACTGATACTAGAACATTCCTCTCAAGTCTGCAATTTATAAAAGAATTAAAATAAGTTTAAAAAACAAGTGTTTGATGTCACTCAATAACTAATTGAAGGTGACTTTAAAAAATGTAGAGACAGAGTATGAAATTAAAATTCAATAAAAAGGACTCTTACATATAAATTCTAAAAAGAATAAATCATATGTAAAGGGTTATCTTGTTCAGATTCTAGCAAAGGTCACATATCTTTGTTAGAAGTGCTTGACTGAAGTGACACAAAACTGCAAGTTCCAAGGATAAGGTAAACCTTCCTGCCACACTTTTCTCTGACAAAGCCACTGTATTATCAATCATAAACCCGCTGATCCTCCCCTTTTTGCTCCTGCTGATCCTCCCTTTTTGCTCCTGCTGCTTGTTTCTGTGCACCCCCCCATGAACTGTTGCCCCTTTCCCATGTGCCACCCTGTCTTGGAGCCAGCCGAGTATGGCATGAAACCAGGAAGATGCTGCTGCTATTACTCAACAACAAGCACTGGCAGTTTGGAATTTTCAATAACCATTACCAATACAGTAAACTTGTTAGGCTATTGTCAAGGGTATGTTTTTCAAAACAGTGCACAATAAAGACAGGACTACCAACTTCACATGGTAATCTGGTCAAATCATCAGGGGCCTTCATTTAGTTTACCCAGAAACTGATGTCTTCCCACCCCATAGAAAAAGGGTTTTTCACTAGACTTCATCTAAGTGCCAAGAAAATATGTACTCCTCTTTGACCTAATCAGTTGTTCGGCACAAATTATCACTCCCATTTAGAGTAAGCATACTAAATACCTTCTACAGATGGTTTCCGAAAGCATAATCACCATGTCTTTATGACTTACCAGACAGTAACATATGTCCTTCAAAAACATTGGCAGGTGGAACCCTAGGCTTACAATTTTTCACAGCTTCAGCAATTTCCCTGAGTTAAGAGAAAATACTATTCATTAACACAGAATAAAATAAATCTAATTAAACTCATTCTGCAGCTATGAAATTAAGTCCATACTAATATAACTGTGCACATAATTATACACCTACCTCCAAACATACAACAGTAATTATGTCTTATTTTTCCTATTGTGCAGGAAGTAAACCTATAAACCTTAAATTTTATGCGCCTGCCCAGTTGGCTTTGTGCTGATTGTGTTTCTACCCTTGAAACTGCAGCTATGTGATGGTCTGCCCAAACACAAACTGCAAATCTCCTCCCCTCCACCACACAAATGTCCTTTACTCTTTCAAATCCACATATAGAACATGTATGTAAAGAACATGCCTGCTGCTTACTCAATAGTTTAACCAAAAAAAGGCTTCAGCCCTGAGAAGAAGCAGCAGACAGGAGCAGATGGACCAGTAATACAGAGAAATCAGGACCTCTAAACCAATTTTTATTATAGGACACACATAGTAGAGAAGGTACACAGTATTAAGAGTATTAGCACTTCAAAATACTCCTCAAACTATTTTAGTCATGCATACTCTCTTTAAGTTTCTTAGCTTGAATAAAGTATAACTTTGATCAACCAGGAAAACTTTGGCTTTTCCAGTAAACTCCAATGAGAACTGTTCTCTCTCTATCGCCTTCTAAATTAATAGGTATCGATTTAAGTGGTTTTAGTGAAAGGACCACATAAACAGATATAGGTATACAAATATAAATACAGAGAGATATTTAAAACAACCCCTCTTTTTAAAGAGGAAAAGACCTGAAAAAGAAAAAGAGACAAGTCTATGATCCACAGATAAGATATATTCAACTATTGCTGGCTTTTAGATATGATATAAATTATTTTTAAAAATTGGGACTGGAGATGTTAACTCAGTCTTAGGATATGTGCTCAGCATGCACATGATCTTGAGTTCAATTCCCTAGTAATGCATATAAACACAGTCTATTGTAGAAGTCAACAAAAGCACAGAACTACTAAGCAGCTCAGTAAAGAAAGCATATTATATGCATGACAACAGAACACTGAGATGACTGGTTCAAAATATGATCATCAGTCACTTTATGGAAAAAGACAAACACAAAAAGTACTAAACTATATTGTGCTTCACTGAATTCCAATCTTCCTATAAGCCACAAAACTATAAGGAATTAAACACATACATGGCCTTGCTCTTGTTTCGCTCCCTGTCTTCATATATTCATTTGAAAGCACAAATTAAGCAATCACTCTATATCAGGCCAGACGAAGATGCTTCCTGACCTCAAGACACTCATCTTACTGCCTTTTCCTTCCATGAAATAATTCTAATGGAGGTAGGAACTGCCCACAAGAAATACGAGTTCGCTCTCTTTGAACATTCAAATGTTATTTAAGGGTAGAACATTATGATGTTTGGGATTTGCTTCATATTTCAAGCGAAAATTGGGGGGATAGATAAAATAAGGATGGCAAAACCTCGAAAATTATCACAATTATGTGATAGGCACATGGATACTTATTTTACTATTTCTCTACTTTTATTTTTCACATTTTTTATAATACAAAGGTATATTAATTTGCTGGACTGCAACAGCAATGTACCACAGAACCAGTAGCTTAAACAACAGCAACTTATTTTCTCACAATGTGGAGGGCAGAAATCTGTGATTAAGGCATTGGCAGGGTTAGTTTTTTCTAATACCTCTCCCCAAGGCTTGAAGATAGCTGTCTCCCCAGGTCTTTACATGGTCTTCCTTCAATATGTGCAGCGGTGTCCTCCTCTTATAAGGACAGCGGTCATACTAGATTACAATGGACTCATTGATTTTTACTTTAATTGCCTCTTTAAAGATCTTATCTCCAAATACAGTCACAATCTGAGCTACAAGGGGTTCAGACTTCAATATTACAAATTTTGTGTCAGTGTAACCCAAAACATAACAAATGGTAAAATACTGAAAGGTGATTATTACCTGATATGATCTGGTGTTGTACCACAGCATCCACCAACTATATTAACCAAGCCATCCATAGCGAAGTCCTGCATTAGGAAAAGTATCAGCAGGTTCATCTGAATTCTAAATTCACCAAAACCAATTCAGCATAAAATCTTTTACTTTCTTTAGTTCCTGAATAACTAAAATTGTACTAACAAGAAAGTCAAACAAGTCAGATGTGGAAGTACATGCCTGTAATTCCAGCATTAGAGAGGCTGACACAAGGGGATCACAGGTCTGAGGCCAGCCTGGACTACATAGTGAGATACTGTCTGACATAGATCGATAGCTAGGCAGGAAGAAAGAAAACTAAACATATTTAACTCTAGTTATAAAAATTTCACAAGCTCTAGATATAAGGAGAAAATAGATACTATGAAATCTTTTATGCCACTTAAAAAGAAGTGATTCAACTGCCCGTCTGAGGACATTGAAGTTTTTTTACCCACATTGAAATGAACAAGTATGAGCTAGATGGTGTATTTTCAAACAACACATGAGATGATTATCAGATTTTAAATTTAAAATTTTTAAATAAAAAAAATCAGTTCCCCTGTCACACAAGCTACATGTCAAATGCTCCAATAAATACACATGGTGGTTGCTCCATACTGGACAGCAAGGGTCTGGAGTTTAAGTAGAGGCTGGTGAGTGAAGAACCCAGGAACTGAGACAGGACATCAAGAACCTGAGTCAAGAACCCTGGAAAAAAGCATCTGTATAAGATACTGAAATCATAAGAATTAAGTTAGAAATAGTTTAGGAGGGAAAATCCGTGAGCCAGGAGCAAAAAGTTCGAAGGATGAGGAGAAAGAGCCCCAGAGGTTGAGATGGGACACTAAAAAACAGTAGTGGGCAGCAGACTCTCATGATTCAGAAAGGATTGAAGAACATAAGTGGGAGAGAGGAGGATGCTGGAAGTGACAGTGTGGGCCAGGAGGACACCTACTACCCAGCAGAGCATGGGGTGTGGAGGGAAAAGAGGTGTGTGTGGGGTCATTACTTGGGAGGGTTGCACAGTAAGCAACACCTCAGAGAACCAAGTTTTGACTTCAGTGGGAATTTTCCAATAGCTACCAGTGTAATGGGCAATAATGATGCTGCCAGCTAATAGCTAGCTCTTCTCTATCCCTCTATAACTTTAATTCAGAGCACCAAACTTTTGTTATTTACATACTAGGATTTAATTGGAGGAAAATCCTACTTGTAAAATTCTGTCTTAAAAACCCAAGTGAAAGAGGCCACCTGACCTTTAGATGCATGGCCATCATGGAGGGTGTTTCATCATAGTCACCAAAAGTGTTGGGAAGACCTGAGAAAAGACATTTCAATCGCTATTCAAAACTATCTTAATAAATATATAAATATATACATACACCTCATAGTTTTAAAGGCCTTAGTTTAAAAGTTTTAAAAATCAGTATTGATAATTATTATTTGCAAATCAAGTAATATATTACTCATATTTAGATAATAAACAGAGACACCACATGCCCCCCCTAAAAAAAAAATCACAGAAGAAAATAAACTTTCATTATTTCTTTTCTATCTGATACACAACTAATGGGACAGCTCACAGTTCCACGCCACCTCCACAGAGAAATTATTGTTATCAAGGTGCTTGGGGATGAGGAAGGGACAACTTCATATCCTTTGAACTAAAGAGCACCTGACATGCAACTAAAAACAAAAACAGCCAGTCTCCATCCAAATAAATTTTCTCAAGACTTTTAGCCTCTATCTAGTTTCCTCTTTTATTTATTATCTCCTTCCAGTTATCTTATTCCTAGTGAGAAATAAAATTTATTGTGCACATTAAAATACATGCACTTGGAGAAAGAGGGCTAGAAAATAGCTGAGTGTGGCGGTGCATACCTGTAGTCCCAGCACTCAGGTGATGGAGGTAGGAGGATCACCACAAGTTCAAGACCAGCCTGGGCTACATGGTGAGTTCAAAGACAACCCAAACTACTTAGAGCAAGATGCTTTCTCCAAAGAGGAAAAAAAAACTCATTAACCCAGAACAGATTACCAATGTTTAACTGGATGGTTTGAGAATTACCTACAAATTTTTACACATAGTAAATTAGAAGTCCTAGCTCTTAGAGAAGAAAAGGTATCAGCACAAAAAATTCTTCTGTTGTTTGCCTGCTAACGGGCTGTAAGAGAAAATATATCACTCTCCTCTTTGGCCATCTCTCTGGTCACATCCACAGAATAAAAACTGTTATCAAAAGTAAGGCTCTGGTCAGTTATACAGTTAGGCTCATTTCTGTAGGTATGTCTTACTCTGAAGCTTCAGGCTGAGTCAAACTGTTCCTTTGTGTACAAAGGGAAACACTGGTCTAGACCAAAATACTCTTCAAACTACATTTTGGAAAATTCCTTTTGAATGTCAACTATATACCAAGATCTGCCAAAAAGAAACTTTTCTAATCAAGATCTGTAACCTCATCTACATGCCTCGCTCCATGGGCAAACCCTTGTAACACACACCTGCATTGGGATAACAAAGGACATAGGCAGTGGTACATTTTCCAATTGTTTCAATGAAAGGTCTCATTTCAGTTGCTCCCAGAGCACAATTTAATCCAATGCTGAAAAAACAAAAGAAAATATTAGAAGGATCTTCTTTTATCCAAACTACTTATACATATAAAAGTTATGATAAAGAGTATACACCTAAAATCAAGCCAATAATAAATTGCCGACTTCAAAGCATTTTATTCCATTATAGTCAAAGCTCACTGAGGTCCTCTACAGCATCAAGTATGTTTGCCCATGGTTCCAACTTCAGATAATATTACAGCCTATGGATGTAACTCCTTAAGCATGTTCACAGATTAGCTAAAAGTATACTGTGAGATAGAAATGATAGCAAACTGCCACTACTAACAAAAAAGTCCAATCTGAAAATATGTAAAGGAAAAGGAAAATCTTAAGGTAGGGGGAACATGAAATAGTAAAAGGAAGGCATCCTGGGTATCCAGAAAAGCAGGACATAGTCCCAGGTCCATAAGCAGAGTCCCTACTACCCTAGAACTTGGACTCTTCAGGCCTTCTGGTACTCAGCAATCAACCATGAAACCCCTGGACCATGTAATATTTTGTTTTCACATTGTGCTTTTCCTTTTCATTATATGCAATGTGGTATCCTAGATTAGATCCTGGAATAGTAAGACATGAGTGGAAAAATTCTTAAAATCTCAATGGTATGGTCTGTGTCCAGGTGTTCCCTTAAAGACTCATGTGGATAGGCAGGGGTTTATAGAGCTGACTAGATCTAGGGTGTGTGATGCTGGGATTTAATGTGTGATGCTAGTAGTGTGATGCTGGGATTAAGGATGTGTGATTACTAAATTAGTCCACTGAAAAAAAATTTAGTCCACTGATTGATCTGGCATAGTTCTGGGTGTGGACAATGGAAAGGCCTACCCTGGGTGTGGGTGGTACCACCCAAAGGGTGAGTAGCCTGGAAGAGATAAAAAGGAAAGGCAGGCTGCTGCCAATTTGCTCAGTACTTCACAGCTTCACCTTCTGCCCACTATGAACTATTTCTCCTCTACAACATCTCTCTGCCATGCCACCCTGCCCTGGAGCCAGCCAACTATGAACTGAAACCTCTACAAACTGTGAGCTACAAGAAATCTTTCCTTCTTTAACTTTGGGTGTTGGTTATTTTGTCTCAGCAATGAGAAAAGTAACAAAGACACCCAATGAAGTCTAGAGCTTGGTTAATACGAACAGTCTTAATTTTGATGGAAGTACCCTGGTTAAGTAAGATGTTAGGGAAAACTAGATGAAGAATATACTGGGATTTTCTGTATTCTTTTCTGTAAATCTGAAATTATTTCAAAAAATGTTTAACAAACATCCAAGCAATTCAACATGGCTGAACAGAGAAGGGAGCCACATTGGAGCTACTCAGAGACAATCAACTAAACACTAATGCAATCAACTAAACTAATGGAGGCTGCCCCCTGCATGCCAAACAAGCATTGCCATACTGGGAAGTCACCAAGAAACTGATGGACTGCAAAAGTGCGGCTAACTCAAGCCACACAGGATAGATTTGGGAAATTAGACTCCTGGCCTCTTTTGCCTTTCTCTATACAGAAGACACTGCAGCTTGGTGGCAAATTTCACCGGCCCACATAGGGGCAAGTGACCGGGAAACTGCTTGCTCCCCATAAGCCAACAGCTTTTCTTGTTCTTCTTTTCGGTCGGGCACCCTAGTAGCTAACTGAAACCTCTAATGACAAGAGGTTAGGGGGGCTGGGGATTTAGCTCAGCGGCAAAAGTGCCTGCCTGGCAAGCGCAAGGTCATGAGTTCGGTTCCCGGTACCGGAGAAAAACCAAAAAAAAAAAAAAAAAAAGAGGACAAGAGGTTAGGGACCGCAGCAGAGCAGTGCAGGACCCTTCCGACCCTGTGACCAGTGGCTTGAGAGAGGAACAGCCTTGACAGGTTAGCTCTCAACCTGCTGAAGCAAAGTGGGAATGAAGAATGAGCAGCCTTGGGCTGTCTCCGAAGCGGAAACGGCATCCCCCTCCCTACCACAATGTAAGAGGGACATGTCAGTGAGGATAGAACAGAGGAGCCCATGCAAGCACAAGGAACCAACTGTACATAGGACAGGGAGCAGTGCCAGGCTGTCCCTGCCTGAGGGCATCACCACAGCTGGGAAAGCAAGGTAGAGGAAATCAGGGTAAGGAGATGTGGGCAGGGACATACAGAAAGCTGTTGGCTGAAGACCTGCCCCAGCCCTCACATATAGAGGCCAAGATCAGCCCCATATCCAGCACTAATCTTACTGCAGACTTAGCAGGGTTACCCCACAGTTTTGGACTCTGACTTGAACACTACCATAGAACTGCGGAAGCCAAAGGAATTTTATTATTTTTCTTTGTTTTCCTTTGCTTTTTCTATCTGGTTGTTTTAAGGTTTGTTTGTTTATTTGTTTGTTTGTTTTAGGTTTTTACTTTTTATAAGAGAATTAAAAAAAAACAGTAAGAATGATACAGAAACAAATGATAGGAAATTAACAATGGTTGTTATATCACATACTGTTATCTTCAAAGTAGTTATTCAGATTCCCAGATATAGGCATGCAAAACTGATCGAACAATTAAGCATTAACGGCCCCTTTCAACAAACCAGCAGAAATTAGTGGTACAATTATCTTAGCTATCTTGTGTGTGTATATATATATTTTCCCTTCCTTCTTCCTTTTTTCCTTTTCCCCATCCAGTTGTTCTTTCCTTTTGAGCAGTTTCTTTCCCTTTCACAATATCTACTGTACTTTTTGGGTTTTATTTACTCTTTCAGGTTCTTACACTAGGGAGACAATACAATGTTTACACATGCAGGTCTGATTTATTTCACTTTTGAATATGGTATCTAGCTGCATCCATTTACCTATAAAAGCCTTGAGTTTATCTTTCTTTATAGCTGAGTAATACTCCATTGTATAAATATACACATCTTTTTTATCCATTCCTCCTGTTGCTGTCATTTGGGTTGTTTCTAAGATTTACCTATGATAAATTGTGCTGCTATAAACATGGGTGCATATATATCACTGTGGTATGATGTTTTCAATTTTTCTGGAAAAATACCCAGAAGGGGAATAGCTGGGTTGAATGGGACCTCTAAGCCTAGTTTTTTGAGGAATGTCCACACTAATTTCCACAGCGGTTGTACCAGTCTACAGGCCCATGAACAGTGGAGAAGGGTTCCTTTTTCCCCACAGTCTTATCCACATCTGTTATTGGTTGATTTCTTGATGGTAGCCATTCTTGCTGGGGTGAGATGGTATACACTTTTAAAATAACTAAAATCCAAAAAAGGATAACAAATGATAGCAGGGTTGTAGAAGAACATAACTTTCATTCATGCCTATTGGGAATTCAAAAAGATACAGCCACTTTGGAAGACAGTTTGTTGGTTTCTTACAAAAGTAAAGATAATTTTACCATATAACCCAGCAGTCATGGTCCTCATTTCTTATTCACATGTGTTGAAAACTTACAACCACACAGAATCTTGAATTTGTGAATCTTCATAGCAGCTTTATTTATTTGTAACTAAAACTGGGTAGCAATCAAGATACGTGAAAGTACAAACTGTGGTAAAACCAGACAACAGAGTATTATTCAGCACTAAGAAAAATGAGCTATGTGTCTGGATGTCTCCCCAAAGCCTCATGCAGTCAAGTGGCTTGGGCTCTTCAGGGATAGCTGAATCTAGATTTTGTGACTGATTCATAGCGCAATGCTGGGATTAATGGTGCTGGGGTTAAGGCTGAGTGGTTACTGGATCAGTCCACTGACTGGACTGGCAACGCCCTAATCCCAAAGGTCTAGATAGGATAAAAGGGGCAGAAAGAGGCTTGTTTGAGCCTTTTTGCTCTTGTTGCTTTTGTTGTCTTCTGCTGCCATAAAGAGTTCCCCCTCTGTCACATCCTCTGCCTTGGATCCAGATGATTATGGACCGAAACCTCTACGAATTGTGAGCTAAATAAACCTGTCCTTTCTTAACTTTGGGTGTTGGGTATTTTGTTTCAGCAACAAGAAACTGGGACATCCACTGATAACAAACGTTGCAGAGCTCTGAATTATACAAATAGCCTGCTGTGGTACATGTCACAGGTTTGCCACCACTGTACTAAGCCATTAAAAAGACATACAGGAAACTTAAACATACACTGCAAAGTGAAAAGACCAAAAAAGCCTACATACTTTGATTACAATTATATTTCATTCCAGAAAACGCAAAGCTATAGTAAAAAGATTAGTTGCCAAAAGGCAAGAAAAAAAGATGAATGGGGGAGCTCAGGAGATTTTCAGAACAGTAAAATACTCCATGTGATACTAAGTGGTAGATACACATCATTTTACATTTTTCAGGTCCATAGGATGTACAACACCAAGAGTAAAGGCTAACGTACACAAACTATAGCCTTCAATTAATGTGATATTGGTTCATACTGTAACAAATGTACTACACTAAGGCAAGATGTTAATAAGAGGGAAAATAAGGGAGGAAAGCAGAACAGGTGGTTGACCATGGAGAGTATATGGAGACTCTCTGTACTTTCTGCTTAATTTTTCTGTAAACCTGTAACTGATCTAAAACAAATATGATTCTGTGATCACTAGTGCCTAACAGAAGTACATCCATCTCAGTTAACATTTTGAGATCAGCTGGGCACAGTGGTGCACACAAAAGGCTAAGGCAGAAGGATTGCTATGAGTTCAAGGCCAGCCTGGGCTACATAACAAGACCCTGTCCCAAAAAAGAAAAAAGAAAAAAAAAAGATTGTGAAAGCCAATGCATGGCAACTTTACAACTTAAACAGACCTATTCTGCTTAGCCATTTTACTAGTCAGTCACATTTAGTAATTTAACTTTTGTTTCCTCTTATGCTACTGTCACCTGGACTTAGCACATAAAAAAAAAAAAACCTAAAAAAAAATTTTTTAAATCACTGTGTAATCACTAGAATAGATGTTTGATTTTTTTTCCCAACTTAGTTCCAATATAATCCAAATCTGCCTTTTCAATAGCTAAGTAACTTCAGTTCCTCATCTGTTAAATGAAGAAAGCTCTCACAGTTATGTTAAAGTTAAAGTTAAATGAAATATGATATACTGAAATGTTTTATCAACTATGCTGCTCTCATGTTGACATTAACTCACTAATACATCTACCCTGCCTTTCTGCTTAGTGAACTGGCTCATGTGTTCCAGAGAAGCTCAAATGTCCTTCTCCTAAGGACCCCATTACTCCTGTGTATGGCCAGATTTTCTGTATAACATTTGATATTTTATACTTTAATTTATTTATGCATTTCTCTTAGTGTGACTGCTTTACATTTGCCAATGTTCCAGGGCACATACTAGGATTTCAATAAATGAATTAACAGTGTAGGGCACTATCCCATTGTTCTTTGTTAACGTGTATAACTTATGACAAACACAAATCAGTAAACAACAGCTTCTTATACATTACAACCTTCTACTACTTTAGTCTATAAGAGTGATAAAAGATAAAACCTAAGCTTTAAAATTCCCACCTTGTTCAAAGCTAGCTGGGTACCCCAAAAGTAGAGAAAGGTGCTGCTATAAAATTTGCAAAGCACTGCCCCAAAATGTAAGTGAACAATAAAAGCTCTTAAGTATTACTCAGCCAAGCATAGTCATAAGCCACAAGAGACACCTGCAAGCAAGATGAGCAAGCAAGCAAGCCCTGGTTGCCCGGGAGCTATGAGCTCTCCCATTCCCTCAAAGTGACCCACTTTCAGTATTAGTCCTTCAAAGTCCTTAAAGACAACACATCATGAAAGTGGTACACTTGAAGCAATCGCCTTCCAGGTCATAGTTTGTAGCCATGAGGAAGCCATGTGGAAGCAATCGCTTTCCAGGTCATAGTTTGTAGCCATGAGGAAAGATATTCCCTAAAAGAGTCAAGGAAAAAAATCACTCACCAGAGTGGGTCTCCATGAGAAACACTGATGACAAATGCCTCCCCTGTCTGTCCAGAAAGAGTCCGCCCACTTTTATCAACAATGGTCCCTGAAATCTGAATTAACAAAGTAAACAAAGTCAATAATATAGACTCAGATAAAGAATATAATCACAAAGACAAAATAAAATGAGAAATCTGATGTTGTTTGTCATTTTACAAAGAGAACCATGGAACTCAAACTCAAAGGTAGCAATCTGCATAAGAGGCAGGATGGACATATGCCAACGGACTAGGGGAGGAGCCACAGGAACAGAGAAAGAAGAATGTCACCGAGGCAAAAGAAATGCCTCTAATAGCGCTAGAATTCACATATCCAGTCCCACTGGAAGAGCTTTTCCAGAGATGGTTCAGGTTATCCTGGAGTAAAGATTGCACTTCATTGTCAACTTGACTGGCTTGATAATCACATTAAGGGGATTAACAAAACCTACTTCTAGGTGTGTCTGAGTGGGTCATGGAGGCATGACCTTGAGTACTGTATCTGGTCCCTGACCCCTTCCTCTCTGGTGCAGATCCTCTGCTTTGCTTCCAGGACACCAGGAACTAAGTAGCTTTGCTCTGTCATACTCTTTTGCCATGATGCTTCTGTCTTGGACACAGCCAACTACGGACTAAAACCTCAGAAATCATACACCATACCAACCTTTCCTCCTTTAAATTGTGGGTAGTAGGTATTTGGTCCCAATGGCAATTGACTAATAATACATTAGGCCTTTTGCTGTTAAAAATCTTATTTTTTTGATCCCCTTGTTTTGATTCTGTTCTATTCTCCCTACCAATCTTAGGTCTCTCGTACAGGGTCTGCCTATTGAGTTAATGAACTGGTGTCTGGAATCTTCAGTACTGAACATTTGGCAGTCAGCATGCAAGTCTACCATTCCCTAAACCCTTAAAGACTGAGTCTTTAAGCCTCTGGTTTTAGGGGGCTTCTTTTGAACAGCCCGCCTCCCACTTATCACTAGGTTCATTTTCCATTGCCTGTTCAGAGGTGAGCCTGCCACTGACCTAAAAGTTATAGTAGGAAGGTACAAACAGAGGAAGTTAAACTGGGTGGTTTCTAAAAATCAACAACAGTCATCCTTAAACTGACAATTATTAATACAAGATAAAATTCATCATACAAACATTCTACAACTTACAAAGACAGGTCGGGGAGTATAATCCTCTTCAAAAAGTTTCTTGAGTGCAAACAAGGCTGCCTATCAGGAAAAAAAAAGAATATTTCTAAGAGAATGTGGCTAAAGTCTGTCGGATCCAAACCCACCCTTTTCCAAAGCCTCTTCAGGTAAGATACATGTGCACACACCTCTCTGCAGAGACGTGTCTTCCCTATAAAGCACAACAATGCCCAATTCTCAAGTGTGATACTGTGAATATAAAAAAGAAGTGACTAGTTTCACCTATGAACTACTACTTCCTCTGAGGAAGAGTTGAAGAGTTTTTTTTTTTTTCTCCATCAATTTAAAATAAAGATGTCTCTGCATTCCTCATCTTTCCACGTATACAGTATGTATGGTAAAAGAAACGGATGTATATCATTGGGAGAAAAAAAACCTACGAGCATGGACTAGGTTGTAAAGCTATGAATCTCACGTTACTCTGTGTTAGTTAATCTATGTTTTAAGTTCCAGGCAATGGATCTTCCTTTTTTTTGTATTTCCTAATTTGAGAATATTCATGTTCTTACAATTAATTTTCTAAAATCAGGATGTACCTTCTTTCTGATGATGTATTTCTTTCTTAGAAAGATACTGAATCAGTAATACTGAAATTTCCTTTTCAGAATTAGAAAAATTAAACATAAAAATATTATGAAAAGCAAACATGTAAGAATAGCCAGAAAAGCTCTAGAGGAAAAGGTGGGGTAAATAAAAACAAACAAAGCATAGCAGTAATTCAGACATGTTCTAATACTCTGATAAATAGTATATCAGCAGACAAAGTGCTAGAAGAAACACAAGTGAACTCCAGAATTTAGGATTAAAGATAACATTCCACATCATTCCCTACACTAGGAAATAGTTTGTTTAGTGGATGGTACTGGAAAACCAGGTAACATTAGACCAAAAAAAATCTACCCTGTTTCTCACTCTAAAACAAATTCCAGAAGCATCGTGAGGGAAACCTTTATAATCAAGAGAATGTGTATGGCACACATCTTAAAACTTAAAAATTCAATGAAATATGTATTTTGGACAGGCGTGGTGGCGTACGCCTGTAATCCAGCACTCAGGAGGCTGAGACAGGAGGATCACTGCAAGTTCAAGACCAGCCTGGGCTACAAAGTGAGCTCAAGGCCAGCCTGAACTGTACAGTGAGACCCTGTCTCAAAAAGACCAAAA